ACACACACATATATATATACATATATATATATATTTGTTATTATTATTACAATTATTATATTGTTGCTTTTGTTAAAATAATCACAAGTTGGTCACAAGATGAATATTCAGATTTTTTTCCCCAGTAGTCTGTTTTATTTAAACAATTGTGAACATTTTTGCATTTAGATACAGAAGAACTTTGCCTGTTGAATATTAAAAACAAATGAACAAACAAAAAATCTGGATCTCCATGTCTGCCATGCAAATCAACTGTTCCTGCTCATCTCCAGACCGGAATGAATCTCTTCTCTCCACTTTCCCTAATTGCAGATTAAATTATTAGATTTGGCAGTATTAATATTTTTGTGCTTAGATTTTTTTGGGGGGGGGAGATCAAAATGTAACACTGTGGGTCCCAACCAGACACGATGTGATAAAAAGTATCTTTTTCTTCTAGTTTTTGTCCTAACCACTCGCGACAGCGACACGTGACAATAAGCGACATGGGATTCTATTTTTGGAACGGTTTTTATTTTCTGCGACGTCGCGCAGGAACAACATACAACATATGACAGTGACTTTTCCATGTAGTTTTTGTCCTAACCACCCGTGAAAGCAACACGTGACAATAGCGACAGGGGATTCTATTTTAGGAACGGTTTTTATTTAAAAAAAAAAAAAATAATAATTTTATTGGGAAGTCCTGGCCTAATGGTTAGAGAGTCGGACTCGTAACCCAAAGGTTGCGGGTTTGAGTCTCGTACCGTTATGTGCTTTATTCAATGTTAAAAGTGTCTAATGTGAGTTTGAATATTATTTTGCGTTATCTTTATAGCCATAGTGAAAGCAACAATAGATATTTTACCTCAGATCTTGAAAATAAATCAAAGCAAACTTGTACCTTAAAACTGTGAACTCACTGCAAACCAACACACGTGTAATCCATAACAAAAATATCAGTCACTCACTCACTCACTCACTCACTCACTCACTCACTCACTCAAAACTGTTCAGTCCATTCACATTT